TCACTCACTCTGTCTGTCTCAGATTATGCTCAGTCACACACACACATCTCATGCTTTGATGCTGAACTCCCTCTTGAGCTCAATATGCTCCTTAAACCAATCTCCTACTAATGAGAATAAGGACATCTGAAACTTCAGTGGAGTCCATGAAGTGACACATATATGAGGAGAAACAGGCTGCTGGGTTTATATTTTGTAGTATCAAAGAGAAGGATGCTCATCTTGATAAATGTACAATAAGTGCTTTAATATTAAATCACCCCCAAGGCAGGAAAGCGCCCTGACCCACGTTGCATCCTCCTGCAGAAAACCCCCTGGATGGGGCCAAAGAACAGCAAACTTTGCGAGTGTCACCTGGCAGAATTTATTATGAGCATACCTCAAGAGGGAGGAGCAGATATGACATCAGGGGAATCATTCCATCTATTCTTGGGGATGGAACCCACCCATAATCCACAGAGATTGTAGCCCATTCTGCAGGGATGGTTGAATTTCCATTGGCTAGCTCATCCTTTCCCCTGGCAAATGGCAGCACAGCTCTTGTAGCCAAGTCCCCACTCTCTTGCAGCAAGGCTGTTAACCTGCTTCAAACAGCACTAACTCCTGCTAGGAGAACCAAGTGTTGAATGGATGCTAGTGTCTTAGACCAGTGGTCTCCAAACTTTTTTGATTGCGCACTCCTATCAGTAAAAATTTTTTGAGCACGCACCCCCTGCCGTGCCGAAGCGGTCCCCCCCCCCAAAAAAAGCGCTCCTTTTGCCGTGCACCCCCAAGGATACTCTTGCGCACCTTCTGGGGTGCGCGCACCCCACTTTGGAGACCACTGTTTTAGACCCCAGAAAGCTCCCATATTCTCAAACATGCTCCCTTCTGTAAGAGGGCATCACTAGAGAAGCCTCTGCATGGCGCAAAGATGGGGTAGGGACAGGTATATTTGTGTTCCCCGCAATAGTGTCTCACCCCTCCACTTGGGCAAAGGTATTGTCTGCATAGTAGGTCCCATCAGGCACATTAGTGAAGGAGATGCTCCCGCCCCCTGGGCAAATGGAATTTTTCAGTGCTGGGAAAGGGATATAAAAGGGTTTTAATGGATTGTGCAGTCAGACTTGCAGAAACAGGTTGTCACAAAGGGAATAGTTTTAAAGTGCATTTGGTATTAGGTAGTTTTACAGACAAACACAAACCAGGAAAATAGGAATAGCTTGGAGATGTCATGGTTATGGGGTAGGTTGTGCTTTAGACCCCTTTATTCCCTCTTGAGTGAACCTGTCAGGTGACAGCCTTAGCTTCCTCCATCTCTCTCAATGGATTCCACCTCTCCAGGATCTCTGGGTGGCAGCCCAACTGTTTCTCTATCCTTGTAACATAACTGGCCCATTTAGTACCTGTAAACTCTTTCCCCCCAGAGGCTTGTGATCAGCTGCTAATTAAGTGACTCAAGCAGCGTCTTCAAAATAAAGCATGCTTTATTCATCAAAGGTACACAGCAAGCACTAAGAAAGGATAAGATGAGAAAAGGCCTGGTTCTTACCTACTCTTAGGCTAGGTCTATACTGGCAATTGAACGACAAAACTTTTGTCTTTCAGAGGTGTTTAACCCCCTCCCCCCCCGAAAGACAAACGATTTGCCGCGACAAACGCCAGTGTGAAGAGTGAACGGTGTGTTGTCGGCAGGAGAGTGCTCCCACCGACAACGCAAACGCTGCTCATTGGGGGTGGAAGTTTTTTGTCGGCAGGAGAGCTGACAAACACCGGCTACACTGCACAACTTTTAGCGGCACGGCTGAAGCGGCACAGCCATGTTGCTAAAAGCTGTGTAGTGTAGACATAGCCTTACTGACACTTTATTCTTTCCTTCCTAGTGTTGGATAAGTTCCACTAAGCCAGAGCCTCCCTTCCAGCCCCGCCATACTGCTGGTTCTCAGCCAGCGGAATGCATACCACTGGGGGTACACAGAGGTCTTCCAGGGGATACCTCAACTCATCTAGATATTTGCCTAGTTTTACAACAGGCTACATTAAAAAGCACTAGCAAAGTCAGTACAAACTAAAATTTCATAGACAGAGATTTGTTTATACTGCTCTATATACTGTACACTGAAATGTAAGTACAATATTTATATTCTAATTGATTTATTTTATAATTCTATGGTAAAATGAGAAAGGAAGCAATGTTTCAGTAATAGTGTGCTGTGACACTTTTTTGTATTTTTATGTCTGATTTTGTAAACAAGTAGTTTTTAAGTGAGGTGAAATTTGGGGTATGCAAGACAAATCAGACTCCTGAAAGGGGTACAGTAGTCTGGAAGGTTGAAAGCCACTGCTCTGCAGCATCCTCTATGCCAGGCGCTGTCAGATTCTTCTCCAGCTGCTGCTGCCTACTTTGCACCCTTCCCCCTAGGCAGGGATCTTTAAGGTTTTAATATCACTTTTGATCCTAAGTTCAAGCCTGGGAAGAATAAATCTTGCTAGCTTAGTTGGAGCCAGGCAGGTGCGTAGTCTCTCAGTTAATAGCTTCCCAACTGTTTCCTCAAAGACCATTAGTATCAGGGGTACTGGAACAGGGGGTGTCCATGGTCCCTCCATGGCTGCGTGAGGGGGTGGCACGGAGCCGCGGTGGGTGCCGGTGGGCCCCCCCTTTTAGGGAGTTTCTGCCATTCCTGCTTTGTAGTCTCTGTGATATTCTTATCTTTGCCATTGTTCCATTTCCTTTCGGCTTCCCTCTGCCAACAGCCTCCTTTGATTTAGCTCTATGCACACAGGCAGAATAATATCATAAGTGCCTCAGTGCTTGTCTACACTGGCACTTTACAGTGCTGCAACTTTCTCGCTCAGGGGTGTGAAAAAACACCCCGAGTGCAGCAAGTTTCAGCGCTGTAAAGCACCAGTGTAGACAAATGCACCAGTGCTGGGAGCTGCACCCCTCGTGAAGGTGGTTTTTTTTAGAGCACTGGGAGAGCGCTCTGCGGCGACTACACAAGCCATGTTAAAGCGCTGCCGCGGCAGCGCTTTAAAGTTGCCAGTGTAGACTAGCCCTCAGTTAACTTGGCTGATATCTATCAAAAATACTACAGATATTTTCCTTATCGCCACTCAAACATTGCTTTGTTAGATGTGTTCAGAGTGAAAGTGGATAGATAGACTCCATTTCTACTGAGACTTGGGGGTGGACTTTATTTTCATAAAATAAAACATGAAGACAAAGACAGCCTTACAATGAGACACGTAGCCTGAGAACATAACAGACACAGTAGATTTTTGCAGACTTATCCACAGGTACCAAACCAAGGCAAACATGTATTATTTAATGCCTTGTAAAAGAAGCAGAATGCTTTTAGCAACATTAAATGCTGCAGTAGTAATTGAGTCTCTGCCATATGATTTAGTACAGGATGCCAAATTTCATTACATCTCTCCATGCTGCCATTAAACTCTGTAAATTAATCTCTCACTTGACAGTTAATTCCAGCTACTCCCAAATGCTCCCTTCAAAAGATCTCCAGAACCACTGAATAATTTTTGAATCTATAAGAAAAGGACATTCCATTAATATGAACATACAGCAACCAGTCACTGCTCCATGTACTCCTAAGTTAATAGTTATTAAAACACCTACACAGAAACACTAGGACCCAGATCCACAAAGGGACTTAGGCACCTTGACAATCACTGGAATCTTTAACCTTGGGTAAAGCACCTAGACTATAGGGATACAATGCATGGGGGGAGAGAGGTGATGGACAGTGGGATTCACAAAGGCTTATGGGAGATGCTGATGAAATGGGTTTTGCCTAAACCATGTCCCTCTTACAGAGTTGGGTCTCTATCTATGCTTGAAATCCACAGCCAGGAACCCTGAATTAGAGTCAGGGGCCTAAGCCAGTCTTGTTTGCCTAAAAGCAGCTGGGCGGGGATGGGGGGGGGAGAAGAGGATGAGGAGGAACCAGCTTCCCTTATAACCTCTGGCCTAGTAGTAGGGAACTCCCACGAGATATGGGAGACCCAGTTCAACTCCCCCTCATCTGCCTGATGAGCAGGGATTTGAACAGAGGTCTCCAGCCTCTCAGGGGAGAGCCCTAACTACGGGGCTAAAGAGTGTAAGGGAGCTTTTGCTGTCATTCTTGCTCCTGCTGTTGTGTGTGACATTAGGTATGTTCTGAGCATGCCTGCTGGATTGGGCCCAGAGGTGAGATATGCAGAACACCTGGTTTGAGGATCATGCTGGGGCACAGGTATGAGCTAGGCATCCAGGTGCCTGCCCAAGGCAGCAGTGTGCGTGCCCGGGGCAGCAACTTAGGCACCTAGGGGATTTTTACAGCAAAAATATAGGTGCCAAGTAAGTTTAGGTGCCTATAAGCAGAGGCTCCAGGGACAGGAGAAGGGTCATTGCCCCTTCCTGCTTTAGAGAACCTGAACTTGGTGGGGGCGTAAACTGCGGGAGAGACAAGGAGCCCCTGACCAGAGTGAGGTGGTGTAAGGAACCCCTTCCCTACTGGCATGATGGAGGGGTGGTGGGGCCAAATTTGTGTGATTGGCGTTGCAACTGGGTGCGTGGCCTCCCTCCATTTTGGAGTCCTTCCGTTGCCCCTGCCTGCAGGGTTAGGCAGCAGCTGAGTGGGGGGTGGTGGTGGTGTTGTGGATTGCAGTAGCACCTAAATCTGGGGTTTAGGTGCCTTAGTATCTCTTGTGGATCTGGGCCTAGGTGCCCTGATAATAAGGGCTTATCTTCATTATGGGAGAGATCGATGCTGCTGCAATCGAGGCAGTGGGTGCCGATTTAACAGGTCTAGTGAAGACCCACTAAATGGATAGCAGAGCGCGCTCTGGTCAACCCCAGTACTCCACCTCTCCGAGAAGAGTAAGGGAAGTCGACCGGAGAGCGTCTCCTGTCGATACAGTGCAGTGAAGACACCGGGGAAAGTAGACCTAAACTATGTCGACTCCAGCTACGTTATTCACATAGCTGGAGTAGCGTAACTTAGGTCGACTTACCCCAGTAGTGAAGATACGCCCTCACTTACGCCCAAGTCCTTAAAGGTATTTAAGCACCTAACTTGCACTGAAATTAATGGGAATTAGGTTCCTAAATACCATTGAGGATCTGGGTCTAAGCACCCACAAGCCTTTTTAACAAAATCTTATCTATATAACAAACTCAGCGCACCAGCGTGAGAAAACAGATCCTTTCCATCCCTTACTGTATCAGGAACTTTCCTTCAACGGTCTCCAAAAATCTCTCTCAAATAATGGCTTTTGCAACATGCTGAAAGTCATCAAATCTGGGCTATTTTAGTGCATGTTCCATAATCCCAGGACCCTTACAAAGAGCCTCCTCTTAAGGAGGGTTCAGCTCAAATGCTTCTAATTACCCCCGCTGTGGCAGTACGTCATGGGGAGGGCGGGGGGAAGAGGCGATCACTCAAATAGGTAGATTCCAAACTTCATTGGTCACATGCCCTCATGAAGGTGTTGGTTATTCCCCCAGCCTATGCATGTATACCTCTCGGATCACCTATCCCCACGCACCTGTCATCTAAACCTGCTCTGCATGAATATGTGAACAAACCAAGTTCCAGGAGATGCTGTATATACTCCGAACAGTGATTAGGTGGGCTCTTTAAAATTCACCCGTTCTTATCCCCCTTTTATGAAATCTCCAAATGAGATTCATTTCTCAAGCTCTTTTTATGCTATACCTTTTTCTTCCCATGCACATTATTCTTTCAGTTTGCACACAGCTCTTCCACCCATGTTTGAAATTTATTATTATTTTTGTCTTACCAACATAGTTCTGGGAAGAGGGTTTGCTAGTTGACTGTGGCACCAGAGCCAGGTGGTGGAGGCCAAAATTACTGTCTGTCTCTTGCTCTTACAAAGACAGAACTATTATTTAGTTTGTCTTTTTTAATGTTTTTGGGCAGAGTGGTGAATTTTAAAAGAATAACTGTAATATGGCTAATGAAAATTTCCCCTAAGTCATATGTGCACTGATGTAATATAGCAAATATTAGTTCTATGTATAACTGTGTAAGTGTTTATAGGGTATACATCAGTGGTGCCCATCTTTAGTGTTTTTTTTTAAAAAGTATTTCATGTTAAGAAGTCTGAATTTCAGTATATTTCATTTGGGGACAGCTGATATTTAAAAGAAAAATCAAATCTCTCAAATGACCGACCCACAGCCATCAAGTTATGCATATACCGTAGTTAATTTCTGTAGTAACATATGAGTTATCCTATTTTTCCCCACTTCTTCCCTCCTGTTAGTTGTGGTTTCACATTTAATTGTAAACTCTTCAGAGCAAGGACTATGTCTTCCTGTGAGTTTGTCCAGAACTTAGCATGATGGGGTTTCAGTTCTGATTGGGGTGCTACCACAATCCTAATAATAAATATATTAATAGGACCATGCGTTGGGGTATTTGCGCTATGTGCTAACTGGCCGTACCTTTGACATGCCCATTATCTCTCTCTCTTCTCCTGTGGAGACCAATCACACAAGTCACATTGATGGGGAGAACTGGGATGCACAGTTCCCTTGGTGATCACTCAGATATTTGCTCATCAGCGTAGTAGGAACACACAGCATTAATGTAGGCTTTTGATACTAATCATGACTGGGCCTCTGCTGTATATTTAAAGTTAATGTAACATTTATACAAACAAAAATAGTACAATTGCAAGAGTCCCTGCCTTCTGTGTGTATGGATCTAAGCATAGTACTGCTACTTCTGCTTCCGTGGAACAGTGTTAAAATTCTGTCTATGGGATGATGCCACCTATTGGATAGTCTTAGAATTAATAAGATGAGGCAGTTCAAAGAAAAACAATTCTGATATGATGCATGAGGAGTTTTAATAAATCTGGCCATGTTTACATCTATTTTATATAAACCAGTTGCTAGAAGAAAGTTTCTGTTGGGACATTCTGAATTTCGGTGTACTGCTACAAAAATGAAAGGATGTTGCTAGAAAAAGCAGTTGGGAAAAGAGAGCTTGGATCCTCTGCCACACAACTGGAAAGGGAAAATGAAGAATAGAAAAAAAAAAAAAGAAAATGAGAACTACAGGCAGGGCTTAAAATAAGAAGTTTTCACTTTGCGGCACTTTAAACTAATCTCTTGAATTGCCCTTAGCAACCTAAACTGAAACTTTAAAAGGTTTCTGCTTTGGAAAATGTACTTTGAGATTCTCTGAGAGCACACTGTTAAAAATGAAATGCCCTTTCAATGGCTTTTCCAGCAGTGAAACACCTCCCACGTTCGATCTGATTTTGGTGAAACTTTAGAAGGAGCAATATAACTACTAGATCATATGGCAAAAACTGAAAATACCACTTTATTCTTTACTTTGATTAAATGTATTCTAGTAATATTTGCATACAAAAAACCAGCACAATAACAGTTATTAAATATTTGAGTCATGACACTATAAAGACTTACAAACTTTGGAATTCTGGCATAGAAACACTTCATCAGAATCATAAGTGTAGAGCTGGAACAGAATGGTGACAAAAAAAAATCCACTAAGGTTTGGTCCTGCTCCCATTGAGAGTCAATGATAAAACTCCCATTGACTTTAATGGCACAGGATTAAGCCCTGAATCCTAGACACCTTCCTAACAAATAGTCCCCCTGGCCTGAACAGGACAGCTCATGTGAGTACGGTGAGCAGGATTTGGTCCTAGATCAGTTCAGAGTAACTGGGAGATCATACAGTATAGAAAAGCAGGCAGTATCTTTCCAGATTTTATTTTAAAAATATAAAATATTCAGCACTTCAAAAACTTACTAGTGGCTCTTCATTTGCAAAGGAAACTACTCATTACTTGGGGAATATTTACTAAACATATACAAAGAATGGTTCTCCCGCAGCTGCAGTAATTATCATTCTACTTTCTTGTCCCTGACTAAATGTCTACAACATCTGGCAACAGAAATCATTTTGTTTATTTTTAACAACCCACTTCCAGATTACTGGACTAAATTTGGACGTGAAGGAAGCAGGTGCAGCTCCAACATGTATTGACTTGCACCAATTGGTCTGCTGAGATTAAAAGCTAACACTATAGGAGGGGAAAAAAACCAAAACATTATAACTACTAGTGAAGTTATACAATCATTTTACATTTGCGTTACCATAAATTAATATAACAATGACAAGTGAATGAGAAACTTTGAACTAGTTATATCTACAGTGATACAAAACTTGAGGATTAATCAAAACCTCAAACTGGAAGTCAATTTATCACATCTCTTGCGTTGAAAGAACAATCAACTATTTTAAACGTTGTGGAACAGATAGTGTAAAGCAGAGTAGCTTCATGGACTTCAAAGAAACTCACTTACTCAATTCCAGTGATGCTATCCTAAGTTTATTCCCACTGAAAATCCTGCCGTGTTCTAAATACCCCTTTGCTTTGCTAATACTCTCCCAGAAACTTGAAAAAGTAAAACTGGCCTGTCTGTTCATAGTTCAAGGTAGACTTTTTTGAATGTTTAACTTCTGTAGCATGCCAGCAATTACAAGACTTTTAGACCCTATTTGCTGACAGGACACTGATGAAAGTAATATTTAGTTTTATATGTACTGAAACTGTGAGAAGCAATTAACTTTAATGAGACTTTTTTCTTTTAATCTGCGACTGATTAACATTAGCATGATTACTATGAACCACATGCAGATGTGTTGCACTGTTCTTGCCATTATGTCAACAGTCCTTAAGATTGGGTCATATCTGATTTCAAACTCATTCTATCTCTTGGCATCTTCTGTATGAAATCTCCTTCATTTGAAATATGTGCTCCTTCCTCTGTGTCTGAAATATGTTATCAATCGTTGCCCTACTGGGCCACTCTTACATGTTTGATTTACATCCTCGACCTCAGCTTGCCGACAAGGGGTTTATTAACACAAAATTCTGCCCACCATGATGGTCTCTCCAGCACCTTGCTGCCTTGAAGGACTATTGTCCACAGATTTTTATACAGCTGCAAAAGAAGAAAAATGTAGATTAACATAAGCAGAAAATCATTTAAATTTCACAAAAGTTTAAACAATTCAAATAAAACCAACTGAAATGGAATTGCAACTGTATTTCTAGGAATACAGAACAAGCAAAAGGAATAAGCACAAAATAAAGTGCATAATTACATGAAACCAAGAACAAAACACATTTGGGATCAGACCTTCAGCTGGGGTAAACTGGACTAGCCCTGTTGACTTAGTTGAGTGAGGCTGATTTGTGCCACCTAAGGATCTGCCCTTTTAATTTTTTAACTGCTATAAAACAATCATGAAGCAAAAGAAAAACAGTGAAAACTCTAGGGTTCTTGATTTCTACTTAATTTTCCTGGTGATTTTTTTTTAAATTCCATCTTTATTTCAGTTATCTCAACAAGCACAGTTCATAGAGGAAAGATGAAATGAAGCTGTGTTTGTCGGAATGTCCATGCCTCTGGAAATTATAGCTGAAAATACTCTGTTTTTACCCTTCTTTCTATATGTTTTTGGCAAGTTACAGAATTTTTCTCCCAGATGTGAACACTTCTGTTTGAGCATCAGAAATTCCTCTCCCATCAGCACATTGTTAATTCATCAGTCTTTCCCAACTTATTTTATACAGCCCAGCTAAAAGCATTAACTGGGAAATAAATTCTGCAAAAGGCCACTTTAATAGTGTAGATCTGTTGAGCACTAGTCAGGTTACACCTTTTGCTATTTGGAAATATTTCACAGTTAATTTAAACTTTTTAATACCATCCTAGAAAAATGGGAGGAGGTGAGGGAGACCAGATTCTCACCTGGTGTCAATCACAATAGCTTCAATGACTTCAATGGTGCTACACAAATTTACACTAGCTGAGGCTTTGGTCCTACATGTATGAAAATCAGATCACTGATTTAGGTGCCCAAATAGGAATTTGAGTACCTAAAAGCAGACATGCAAGTGTGAAATTTTGACCACGCAATTGCTGACACTTTTTTTTAAACCAAATTGGTTTGAGGCTCAGTTAATTAATGTTTGTAAAATTCTTTGAGATCCTCCCAATAATGGTGTAAAGCACAGTGGTGACGGTGTTTATTATTATTTCTGGTCTGTAAGTGTATCTGTTACTTTGCAAGCTAAGGGCTGTCTCAATCCATCACAAGACACTTCCGGACATCATGTTATATACTCTCATTGAATAAATGTGATTCTCTCATGACACACTTTCTGTTAATATCATTCTTGCGGGGTATTGAAAACTGTAGAAATTACAAGCTGTCGCCTTCAAATCCTAAGGGGTTTCTTGGTCCTGTTTGCAGGCTAGGGAGCTCTGAGCATGGAGTCTGGATCCTCTGCTGTCAGTCTGCCAAGAGCCAGCCTAGAGAAAGGTGGGGTGAGTTGTGCATTTTTGGCATCTATACCACACACCAATTTCGGCAGCATGTAGTGTATGTGTAGTTACATGCTGCAGTTTAAAGCAGGCTGCGGCCACACTTCGGTATATAGCTACATGTGTCAGTGAAAGGCTCTGGCAGGAAGGAGGCAGCAGGGAAAGGATGAGTGTTTTCCCTGTTGCGTCCCCCACTGCCAGAGACTTTCCCTGCTGGAGTCTTTCCCTGTGGCAGGGAAGGGCTCCAGTGGCAGGGAGTTGCTGGGGCCTTTTCCTGCTGCTGGAGTCTTTGCCTACGGAGGGATGCAACAAGACTCCACGCTGACAGATGCATGGCATGAGTGAGCAGAGAGCATGTAGTGTATGTACTCTGGGTACATTCCTACACCCTTCCCGCATGCTTTTACTTGTTTACTCCATGTCTCACAGTCTATACTGCTATTTCTGTCTGTGCTAGGAGGGCTATGCATGTATGTACACTACACACCGCTGAAAGAATCCTGCAGTGTAGACGTACCCTTAGGGAGCAGCCCCACATTGTGTCTGTTTTTGGTTCTTGTGTGTTAAGGTTCTGGGTTTTAAGAAATAAAGTAGTGTTAGATCTTTCTGGAAGGTTGCAATGTAATTTCTCTGTTTTTAGGCCGTGACCATAACAATTCTTAATTGGAACAAGTTTTAATTTCACTTTGCTCTCATATTAGACATTTTCATTAAAAATCGGGAAAAAAAAGGGTAAATTACATTCACAGATAACACTAAAATGAGGGTGTTGTGAGCACCAGTGAGGTCAGAGTAATCATTCCTAGAAAGGTTAGAAATATGGGCAAGGAATAAAAACACAAGATTCAAACTGGTAAAGTGAAAGGTATTACATCTGCTGAGACAATAATTTGAAATAGCAACAGAACTAAACAGAAACAACAACCTAGGATGAAAATCTAGCTCCATTACAATCAATCGGAGTTTTGCTATTGACTTCAAAGGGGCCAGAATTTTACCCTTAGGGTGATAATGGATGGCAAATTAGACTATGCTGGGCAAAGTGATAGAGAAGTAAAAAAGACCAGTCCACTTTCGGGGTCTATGTGCATAGGTACAGCATCATGGAACAAGAAGACAGTAACAGAGAACCAGACTCAATGAGTTTGGGAATCAGAAGGGCTGGAAAAGTTAGAAGGATGTTGGAGGCCCTCCAAATATTAAAATATCTAGAAAAGAGATCTTATGGGATGTACAGTAGCTTCTTCAATCCAGGGTATGCACAGATTTCTACCAAAGCAATACATTCTGAACAGTAGCATGTGACTTCCCCATATACTGGAGCATATTCTCAGCTAGTCCAAATTGTCATAGCCCCATTGAAGTCAAAGAAGCTATGACAATTTAATCAGTTACATAAATGCCTTTTTAATTATTAGCTTTACAAACACAGGAAGGCTTCTCTTTACCTCTCCATCAGCTCTGCCAATGGGTGAGTTCAGAATGAAGTCAGGAGGTGCAATGACATCCACCAAGGCAACTGCATCATCTTTCAACTGTTTAAAAACAAAAAGCATAAATTTGACAGCTCTTCTAGATTTCTATGGTTACCTACGAACAACAAAGCAGTGCTGGAAGCCACCAGCCAATCCACTATCAATACACTGTCTATTCACACTATTTTTGTCTTTCTTCCAGAGCAATTAAAAAAAGAAAAAAAGACCCAACTCTGTATTTTAGAAGTTTGCCATGCTTTCCTTAAAAGCATTAAATTTTATTTTCATCTAGGCAGTACTGTGTATGTCTATACAAACTGATTAACACACAGCTCATTCATTAACATACAATTTCCACAGTCGTCTTCTTTACAATTCATATTTTACCTGGTCAAAATGTGTGCTAGCTTGAAAAGCTACGGGTTGAGAAAAAAATAACACAGACAATATTTATGAGCAGAGATGATAATGAAATAAATAGAATGGCATTGCTGCTCTCAAGTGTTTTATTGGCCTCCCATATCATCCAATAAACACATTATTTCAGATGAAATCCAGAGCATCTTCTTCCAAGAATTTTCCCTCAAAATATGAAATATTACTTTCTTTGAGCTCTTGTAGAATACTCAGGATTTGATCCAATGCTACTAGCCTTCCCTTTTTTAAACAGGCTATTCAACTGCAAATAGGATAGCATCCTGGTAATCTCTTGAAGTGCAGAGTAAGTGGTATGTCTTTCTTCCGGTATTGGCATGTTGTGTTGCTGTCTATCCACACCAAAATGATGTTAGAGACTTACCTTGGAACAAAGCTCCAGAATAGCATGCTGTATGAATCTACCAGGCTGTTCACCTGAAACATATCCACCTGCAAATATAGTTACAATGAAATTAAATGGTGAAGTTAGGATTATGTTGATACACCTCTACCCCGATATAACGCTGTCCTCGGGAGCCAAAAAATCTTACCGCGTTATAGGTGAAACCGCATTATATCAAACTTGCTTTGATCCGCCGGAGTGCGCAGCCCCGCCCCCCCGGAGCACTGCTTTACTGCGTTATATCCGAATTCGTGTTATATTGGGGTAGAGGTGTATATTCCTTTTACCAATGGCATGGTTTTATAAATCTCTTCAGTATTTATGAAGGTGAAATATAGCCTCCTGTGAGAGTTGTGATGACTTTCTCACTCAAGAGGCAGACTTTAAAAACTCGCCACCAGGAGCCTTTTACATGTGTAAGTCACAAGGCTTGTCTACGGCCCCAGGGTGTGTGAATCAGAGCATGCATTAGCGTGCTGCGCTGTAACTGCCCCGGGTGGACACTGTGGGCATGAACTAAAAGGTTCCTAGTTCACATTAACATAGTCCTATTTGAAAGAGAACTATGTTAATGCAAACTAAGTACCTTTTAGTTTGCACCAGCAGTGTCCACATGGGACAGTTACAGCACAGCATGCTAGTGTAGACAAAGCCGCACTTGCAGTATGGCTAGATATCACCCCTCCCCCAGGGGCTGGATCTCACAGAGGTGTATAAGTTCACTACAGCCCTTGTGCTAACAGAGCTGAGGCTTTTAGGTTAGCTAATAGAGGCTGACTCTTCTAGATCCAGAGCTGAATCCCTGCTTCTGACAGCCTACCCAGTAATGTTGCATTACACAGGCAATAACTAAATGTTCTATCATATACTCCAGTCAAGATTCTCTCTCTCCCTGCCAAGGTGCAATGCACTGTATAGAAAAAATGAAGGTTACAATTAGGGCTTTTAAAAAAGTGATCCCCGCTGAAGATCAATTTGATCTTACCTTGGTAGAGCACGGCCATGTGTCTACTTAAAGACCACAGTCCATACAGAGCACTAAGATGCTTTAGCACAGGCTGGAGTGTAGATGGCGTGTCGGGATCATGAGTGTATTCGTGATACCTTTGTAAGACTGTTTGCTCGATGAAAGCGATGGCTAACGAACGACAGTAGTATACCTTAAGAAATAGAAAAGGATTAAATAACATGTGGACAAACAAAACACAAAAGGGCCAGATCCTCAGCTGCTATAAAATGGCATGGCAACATTGAAGTTAATAGAGTTATGCCGATTTACACCAGTTGACAATCCCCCTGAAGTTTTAACGAATAAACAACTCTCTGGGAAGTGTGCACCTAGGCAAGTGCTTTCAAATTGTGCATTTCGAATGTCTGTTTGGCTAGGGACAATTTTAGGTTTTTCGGAAAGGCAATGGACATATCTACCGCAACTGGAAATAAGGTTCCTAATTCTCTACCACCTCCCAACTTGGACAGTCACTTCTACCTGTCCAAAGTCAGGGCAAAACTGATGTATAATATGCAACCGTTCTGATCTGGCAGCATTTCGCACCCACTTTGTACAGATGTAAATGACTACAGAAGGTGGAAGACAGTTGAGAATCAGGTCCAAGGTCTTGTTAATGCCCATTGAGCTCTAATAGAAAATGCTATAGAAATTAATATGAATGATACCAGTAGGGTTCTATAGAAATTATTCTAAAATCTACAGTACTGAAAAGAGACTGCTCTTCTTTTTATACATTTTTTTTAAACCATCTTATGGAATTCTATAGCAGGGATAGAATTTTCTACTAAATTATAGGAAAAGGAAGGGTCTGATCCTATAAACATTATCGGACCTAGTGCTTACTAGTCCCCATTGACTCTAATGTTGTTTGAAAGAATGACACAACTAACCCTTTGCTTTTACCCTATTAGCAAGGTAAAAAAAAATCACTACCTCTTACAATATTTTTAATACACGGGATAAAAATATAGGGACTGAGTATTTCCATAGGAAGATTTGGTAGCCTTTACATATCCACTTGAACTGGAATACCATTTAAATTTGAAATAGGTTGTTATATGAATGAATATGTATTTGAGAGCTGAATAGGAAGCTGTTTGTGTTATAACAGTTTTACACTGCTCTCAATTGTTTCTACAGGCATTAATTTTGTATTATTCAACTTGTTGGATTTGTTCTATGTTCAGTAAATCACAGTTGGTTGGGTTTCTTTTAAATCACTGCCATAGACAGGATATTTAAAAAAACAAAATCCTATTCCAAATAATTCCACTCTCTTTGTATAGTTCTTCAATAGCACCCTTGATCAATGTCACAACCAGAGCTAAGCTTGAACAACAAAATCCACATCTGAACACCCATAAAACTTTGGAAGGGGAGAGAGATTTTTTCATCCTCAATGGTTGGACCTGAATTTAAATCAGAATTTCGTGATTAGACCAATTCTCTAGTCACAATCAAATGTCTCTCAATATCCCTGTTGGAGCCCTGTGAATGAGTTCCCTCCTCCCCCCACTTCTTCCTACTTTATAAACCCAGTCTTGTAGTCCTGCATTTTTCCCATTAACCTTGTGGCTGAGAACAAATGGACAGGACTCCCTTCTGAGCCCGTTAATCCTGTTCAGCCAGCATGAGACATCACAGATGAGTGATACAAAGCATTCCCGCCCCTGTCTTCAGTGAACTCTCAACTCACAATAGCCCAGGGATAGGCGAGGAATCTGCCCCAGATCTCCTGCAGCATGACTGAACACTACATCATTTCTCTACCAAGAGGTTGACAGACAGTGCTTCTTCACGCCCTAGTGTTTTTAAATCAAATCTACAAAGGTCTCCCAGCATGCTAATCATTTTCAGATGTATTTAAGGCACATTATTTACAAGAAAAATCCTCCCCTGTGCTGCACAAGCATTGTAGGGAGGGAAGAGAGCCTAATGAATACAAGGAAGAAGTAGGGCCGGGTACCTCTATATTGCTCAGCTTCATAACACACTTGGCTATGCACCACATTCCTAAAGGGGCGTAGTCATTGGGTAATGGGCCGTACCAGATGGAATCATAGTTGTATTTATGCTCCTGTCAGTAGTAAGTGCCAGACAGGGGACATGTTGTTCACAATCTGATACTGACCCAGCAAAGTAGACATTTCTTTCTTATTCTAAGCTGTTGCTCTGATGAAGGCTCTGATGGTGGTTACTTCTATCATAGCTTTTGCAAAGTCCCAACCAGCAGAGCTATCCTGGGTGGTGGAAGTCTGGGTGAAGCCAGGTCTTCTCTACTTGGATACAGAGTTGAGTGTTTCTTGTTGCAAGTTTTCAATGTACTTTGCAGGTAAGGTCGGTAAGATTGGCTGCCTCCAGAGCAGCAGATCCCCCTCAGGAGTGACAAATGCCAAGAATTCTGTGCTTTGGGTCCCAGCCAGTTTTGCTCACTGAGGATAGAGATGGATGGGGAAGTGCTGCAAGCTGTGATTTGGAGCCATGCCCTCCTTGGCTGTTAAAATCTTGTTAGGGGACAGTGGATCCACTCGTAGTATGACTGTCAATGTTTCCTTTTCACTTTCCAATACTGTCAGTCTGGTATCTGTCATGAGGGCTCTGCATTTGAATTATAGACATTAGAGATGGAAAAGACCTATTAGGTCATCTAGTCCATCTACCTGCCAGAACAGGATTCTTTCCTACAGTATGTATTTGGCCACAAGTGCAGCATAATAAGCAGATGTAGATGTACTAATTAGGAGTGGTAGTGGATTTAATAGTAGTAGATATAATCTTCAAAGAGTTAAAAATTAAGATTAATTTGAATTTATTACACAACTATGTCTGCACAGTTCTGAAGGAAACTATGTTTTGAAAGATTTTACTGATCATAGTTGTCCTCCTTTAATACAACGCACATGGATGGGAATATATTTTTATTAGTTACTATGATTTGCTGCTTTATGAATGACAGAAGGATAAAGCAAACAAGATCTGGCAAACTTGGAGGAAAATAGACAGTAAATAAGACAGGATTCTGAATAAATTGTTACCTGACTGTTGTTTCTTGCTTCAAAATCACTATTCCCAGACTGTTTCTCGTGGCTCAATTTCAGGACACTTTCTCGGAGCAGGTAACAAACCAGCCATTTATATGCAGCTAATGGAACTGCAAGACAGAAGAAATTTTCCATATGGTAAAGAGAGGAAAACTGAAATATTGCATGTTGGTGCTCCCATTGCTAGTAATCACAAACAGAACTGACTTTATTCTAAACTCATGTTATTTGGGACGGATACTGGATTCCTCTTAGAGACTTACATAAATCAATTAAAATCTCCTGCAGCCATTGCATCACAAATATTCAACCAAACAGTGTTGGGCAGTGTTATTCCTTGGACAAGAACCTTTGAGGAACACCTAAGCACTGCAGGAAGTGATTCTATTCTCTCTGAGCCGATGCTTAACCAAGGGGCCACTGTGTTGCTGGAGATGTTGGAGTAGATTCTCCCTTGTGGCCAAATTCTGCTAATTGCAGGGCAGAGGGAAAGTTGTCAGGGAGCCAGTTGTGAACCTTTTCCTCTACAACCTGACCCTAGCATAAGGAGCTGCTCTAACTTATCCCACTGATGTAAGGTTCCTGAATGGACCTTATCCCTGAATGCCCTGCCAGTGGAGGGCAGGCATAGCAAAGCTCCACTCTGCCATGACCCTTCCCTGCTTTCAGCCTTCACCATCCTTCCTCCGACATCCTGGAGGTGGGTGTGGGCAGCTTTCACAGGAGGAGCTAGGCCACCTCCACCAGCTTGTGACCACTGGAGAGTTGCCCTTTGCTAGGGGAATGCTCTGCTGGCAACCCGCTGCCACAAAACAGCAACTTTGAAGTGCCTGACTGGGGCAAAGTTGCCAAGAGAATCCTGACCATAGTCTTTGAAATAAGAATAAACAAGGTCTTGGCCACATACATTCATTAAATGTCCCATGACACTTATCACAAGAATGGGTTGTTTCCTGTAACAGAGTCAAATTCTCAGTTTATTATTTATATTCTGCCTCCCTACTGGTTCAATCATGTAAGGTATTTTCTCTTCCTCTTCTAAAGCTCAATCCTGAAAGGTACTGTGTATCTCCTTGCACTGAGGATAGCCAACACCTTGTGGGTTGAGCCCTCAAAAGTTGTGGCGTGACGGTATATGCTATTAAACTGTTACCATGTTCCACCCATATGTGGCTGTATTTAAGTGACAAGTGAAGTAACCACTGCAGATCATCTTGTTAAATTTTTAAAGCACTCTGGGATTATTAGGGAAGCGGGTATTACAGAGTACATACAGGCATGTTTAGTGTTAAGAAAAAGAAGACTGAGGGGGCACTTTATAACCATCTTCAAATATATTACGGACTATTATAAAGAGGATGGTGATCAATTGTTCTCCATGTCCAGTGAAGGTAGGACAAGAAATAATGTGCTTAATCTGTAGCAAGGGAGATTTAGGTTAGGTATCAGGACACATTTTCTAACTATATAAGGATAGTTAAGTACTGGAATAAGTTACTAAGGGAGGTAGTGGAATCCCTGTCATTGGAGGCTTTTAAGAACAGGTTAGAAATACACCTGTTAGGAATGGTGTAGGTACACTTGGTCCTACCTCAGTATGGGGACGACTACTAGATAACCTCTCAAGGTCCCTTCCAGTTCTACATCTCTATGATTCTTGGGCCTAGTCTACACTAGGCGGGGGGATCGATCTAAAATACGCAACTTCAGCTACGAGAATAGCGTAGCTGAAGTTGACGTATCTGAGGTCGACTTACCTCGCGTCCTCACAGAGCAGGGTCGACTGCTGCCGCTCCCCCATCGACTCTGCTTCCGCCTCTTGCCGCGGTGGAGTACAGGAGTCGACGGCAGAGCGATCGGGGATCGATTTATCGCATCTACACTAGACGTGATAAATCGATCCCCGATAGATGGATCACTACTCGCCGATCCAGCGGGTAGTGTAGACATACCCTTGGCTAAATCCTGGTGGCCTAAATCCTAGTCAGAGACTTAGTCCAGTGCTATTAAATTATTTCTAATAGAAAATTAATACAGATGAACAGATTTAGTTTTTTTTCCAACTGTGATTTGGCTGCTTTGGTAGGTATTAATTGAGGAGACAGAAATGTGCTTAGTTATTAGTTTGTGCTGTCCAGCATGTCACAAGCTTGAGATTTACCACAAAGACAAAACAAACAATCATTTCAGCAAGTCTTTCTTCTAAGCCTTTGCATTTTAAAGCTAGTCAGATGTTAAGTTTTTGTCATAACTATTGAGGCATTATCTCACTTGGAGCTCTGCATCATTACCGAGACTTCAGTAATCCCAGCATTTCTTCATTCAATCAGCTGAGCACTGAAGCATTTATTTTGGATTCCAGGAAACAAGCAGATTGCCTGTTAATGACATCTATAAATTAAGGTTAAATTTCTGCCCACAATAAGTTCTCAGTTTCATAGACTCACTTTTGTCTTAAATCCTCATATAGATCGAATTCCCTCTAATTTCCCCCTAGGGGCCAATTCGGGTAAATAGCAGCAATAAGATCGTGGGAATGGCATGCACTGTCTTTCTTAATTTGATTATAGCAGGGAAAACTAAGACAAATGCTGAAGCTCTTTTCTCGCTGTTTCTCCATTTTTTCCAACCAAACCAAAGACAATTACTACACAGTGACATACTTTGTCTGTGCATATTGTACTATTCAAAATGTTGCCCTGCTCTCCACTGTTCTAACTCACATGCACTTTCCTTAAAAAGCTATTTCAAGGCCCTAATCTAATTACATCAAACGGAGATCTGGCCCACATAAGAGTCCCTGGCCTTGTCTACACTACACAGTTTTGTCAACAAAAGTCAGTTTCATAGACAAAACAGTGGAGGTGTACACACAACAATGTTCTTCCCACCAATTTAACTCTCCTGCTACACCAACAGAATAAAACCACCTCGACGAGCGACATAGAGCTTTTTGCGACAAAGTTACAGCAACACAGTGTCAGTGTAGACACTGCACTTGTTTATGTTACTCTAAGTGGCCTCTGGGAGGTGTCCCACAATGCCCATCATGACCACTCTGGTAAGCAGTTTCTACTCTGCAAAGGTACTCAGGCATGCGCTCCTCCCACTTTACTGAATTTTTGAAATTCCAGTTCTTGTTTGCTCAGAGTGGACAGCTTACATCGCATCTTCCCAGTTGACCATGCTGGCTTTCCGCAGCAAATAGGCTCCCATGTGGAGTACAATGGAAGTTGCTGGATCTGTTGGGTCTGTTTGGAGAGGAGGATGTGTAGCCGTAGCTCCAATCCAGCCATAGGAACGTTGACACCTATGAGCAGATTGCTCGTGGCATGGATGAAAAGGGACACGTAGCAGTGCCATGCTAAGATAAGGGAGCTAAGGCAGGCGTACCAGAAGGCACGGGAGGCCAACTGTTGCTCTGGTGTGGCACCAAAAACATGCTGCTTCTACAAGGAGCTGCACACCATTCTCAGCAGTGACCCCCACCTCCCCTGCCAAGAGCCCCATGGATACTTTGGGGGGACTGGAGGCAGCAGCCAGCGGAGTCAGCCCTGAGGAGGTTGAGTTGGAGGAGGATGTGGGACAGGCGACAGGCTCGTCCGATGGCGTGGCAAGCCAGGATCTCTTTGACTCCAGAGTGGTCTAGCCAGTCCCAGCAGTCTGGCTCTGGTGTGCCTGAAGCAGGAGATGGGAGCTCTAATGAGTACTCATTTTACTTTGCTAGTGCATGGTTGCATAAGGTAGAGGTGTCTTTTATTTTGCTACATGGTGCATGTGGGAGAAGGGATTGAAATTAACAACCCTAGGTACTGTTTGCATCTGCTTCACATTTCCCTGTGCAGCTATGCAGGGGAGGTCTTGCAAAACAGTTTGTTAATGCACACTGGGATCTCCTGGGAATCCTCCATAGAGATAAAACGGTTACTCATCTTCTTGTAACTGTTGTTCTTCGAGATATGTTGTTCACGTCCATTCCAATCAGGTGTGTGCGCGCGCCGTGTGCATGGTCGTCAGAAACTTTTTCCCTTAGCAGCTCCCATGAGGTCGGCTGGGGAGCCAGCTGGGGAGCCCCCCTTCAGTTCTTTCTTACTGTTGGAACCGTCTCGCTTGCCTTGCAAAGTACTCCCTTAGCTTAGTATCTAGTTCTCTTTTTTCAGAATAGTGTTACTAGGCGCTTGTAGTGATCCCCTTCTGACACCACCCAAATCCTTTGTCCCATCTTGCGCACACACCCTCGGGTCAAACTCACCATGATTAGCGCTCTGGCCGTGCTTGCCAAGGAAAAGTGAGAAAGAGGCGTATGTAACGTTTATGCTTTTTCTGATTTAAGACTATGAGTGAAATCACAATACTGACTCTGTGTATTGTTTCTTTTGCTTCTGCAGATGTGCCCTTGAGGGCCAGCTCCTACACACCGGTGTAGCGCCTCTGTCAGATAAGGAGGTGAATGAGGAAAAGTAAGGGCAGCTCTCATTTTGTAGTCCTTGGGCTGTAGGGTGGGTATGAGCTCTGCACAGAGTTCAAGAAAGGTGCCTTTACGCATATGAAAGTTCTGCAGCCACTGCACATCATCCCATATCTGCATTACAATCTGATCCCACCACTCAGTGCTTGTTTCCTGAGCCCAGTAGCCACAATCCACCGTGTGCAGCTGCTCCGTGAATACCAACATCAATCTTGAATTGTTTCTTTCCATGGCACACAACAGCTCATGAAATACTGCAGGATCAGCAGTTCATAACACTTATCACTAGACTGGTGAGCAGTGCAGGATCCATGCTTTCAGGCAGAGATGGCAGGTGCAAAGTTTACAAGGGCAGTTGAAAAATGGCCTGAAATGCAGTTGGAAGACCTTGGAATTTTGGGATGGAGAAAACTCCCAGAACTCTTAGCAGGAGAAGGTGATGATTTGCACAGTGGGATAGCTTTTCACAGTGCACTGCTCTCTCTGTCGGTGCAAGAAGCATTGTATGAACATGCACAGGCGATGTAATTGCAGCAGTTTATGATAATCGATGTAACTTAAGTCTACTTAACTCTGTAGTGTAGACATGGCCTCTCTTAAAAACAATACAATAGCGGAGGACAACTACCAATACAACTTTAGAGGAACAAAAATAACACTTTACTTGAAGAAATACATGCAAGCCAATATTGCATGAAACCATTCTGTCTAGCAATTTCATGCTAGAATTCAGTTTGCACGTTTTGTGCCAATGAGACATATTAAGAAATGAAAATTTGGTCCCTTGTAAATTGCAATGTGCATCACACAACATAAATAAATAGTAAAATGCAATTTGACGGAGAATATGTTATAAGAAGTGATGGTTGAACTGAAAAAAGCACTGGATCAGGTGAGAATTCAAATGTTCAGCGGTCAGCTTATCAGATCTAGAGCTGGATGAATAATACAGAAAACTTTGTACATTTTTGTATAGGATCTTTAAATTTTTGAAAAATACCAACTCTATAAGTTGGCTGAAAAACAGCAAATATTTTTGCTCTTTTAAACCCTGTTTATAGTCCTAGCCTTCACAACCTCCTCAGGCAAGGAGTTCCACAGGTTGACTGTGCACTGTGTGAAGAAGAACTTCCTTTTATTTGTTTTAAACCTGTTGCCCATTAGTTTCATTTGGTGGCCCTTAGTTCTTATATTATGGGAACAAGTAAATAACTTTTCCTTATTCACTTTCTCCACACCACTCATGATTTTATATACTTCTATCATATCCCCCCTTAGTCTCCTCTTTTCCAAGCTGAAAAGTCCTAGCCTCTTTAATCTCTCCTCATATGGGACCCGTTCCAAACCCCTAATCTTTTTAGTTGCCCTTTCCTAAACTTTTTCTAATGCCAATATATCTTTTTTGAGATGAAGAGACCACATCTGTATGCAGTATTCAAGATGTGGGCGTACCATGGATTTATATAAGGGCAATAAGATATTCTCCGTCTTATTCTCTATCCCTTTTTAATGATTCCTAACATCCTGTTTGCTTTTTTGACTGTCGCTGCACACTGCATGGACCTCTTCAGAGAACTATCCATGATGACTCCAAGATCTCTTTCCTGATTAGTTGTAGCTAAATTAGCCCCCATCATATTGTATGTATAGTTGGGGTTATTTTTTCCAATGTGCATTACTTTACATTTATCCACGTTAAATTTCATTTGCCATTTTGTTGCCCAATCACTTAGTTTTGTGAGATCTTTTTGAAGTTCATCACAGTCTGCTTTGGTCTTAACTATCTTGAGCAGTTTAGTATCATCTGAAAACTTTGCCACCTCGCTGTTTACCCCTTTCTCCAGATCATTTATGAATAAGTTGAATAGGATTGGTCCTAGAACCGGCCCTTGGGGAACACCACTAGTTACCCCTCTCCATTCTGAAAATTTACCATGTATTCCTACCCTTTGTTCCCTGTCTTTTAACCAGTTCTCAATCCATGAAAGGATCTTCCCTCTTATCCCATGACAACTTAATTTACGTAAGAGCCTTTGGTGAGGGACCTTGTCAAAGGCTTTCTGGAAATCTAAGTACACTATGTCCACTGGATCCCCCTTGTCCACATGTTTGTTGACCCCTTCAAAGAACTCTAATAGATTAGTAAGACACGATTTCCCTTTACAGAAACCATGTTGACTTTTGCCCAACAATTTATGTTCTTCTATGTGTCTGACAATTTTATTCTTTACTATTGTTTCAACTAATTTGCCCGGTACTGATGTTAAACTTACCGGTCTGTAATTGCCGGAATCACCTCTAGAGCCCTTTTTAAATATTGGCGTTACATTAGCTATCTTCCAGTCACTGGGTACAGAAGCTGATTTAAAGGACAGGTTACAAACCATAGTTAATAGTTCTGCAATTTCACATTTGAGTTCTTTCAGAACTCTTGGGTGAATGTCATCTGGTCCCGGTGACTTGTTACTCTTAAGTTTATCAATTAATTCCAAAACCTCCTCTAGTGACACTTCCATCTGTGGCAATTCCTCAGATTTGTCACCTACAAAAGACAGCTCAGGTTTGGGAATCTCCCTAACATCCTCAGCCGTGAAGACTGAAGCAAAGAATTTATTTAGTTTCTCCACAATGACTTTATCGTCTTTAAGTGCTCCGTTTGTATCTTGATCGTCCAGGGGCCCCACTAGTTGTTTAGCAGGCTTCCTGCTTCTGATGTACTTAAAAACATTTTGCTAATACCTTTTGAGTTTTTGGCTAGCTGTTCTTCAAACTCCTTTTTGGCTTTTCTTATTACATTTTTACACTTAATTTGGCAGTGTTTATGCTCCTTTCTATTTACCTCACTAAGATTTGACTTCCACTTTTTAAAAGATGCCTTTTTATCTCTCACTGCTTCTTTTACATGGATGTTAAGCCAAGGTGGCTCTTTTTCAGTTCTTTTACTGTACATTTAAGTTGGGCTCTATTATGGTGTCTTTGAAAAGTGTCCATGCAGCTTGCAGGGATTTCACTCTAGTCACTGTGCCTTTTAATTTCTATTTAACTAACCTCCTCATTTTTGCATAGTTCCCCTTTCTGAAATTAAATGACACAGTGTTGGGCTGTTGAGGTGTTCTTCCCACCACAGGGATGTTAAATGTTATTATATTATGGTCACTATTTCCAAGCAGTCTTGTTATAGTAACCTCTTGGACCAGCTCCTGCGCTCCAATCAGGACTAAATCGAGTGTTGCCTCTCCCCTTGTGGGTTCCTGTACCAGCTGCTCTAAGAAGCAGTCATTTAAAATATCGAGAAATTTTGTCTCTGCATTTCATCCTGAGGTGACATGTACCCAGTCAATATGGGGATAACTGAAATCCCCCATTATTATTGAGTTCTTAATTTTGATAGCCTCTCTAATCTCCCTTAGCATTTCATTGTCACTATCACTGTCCTGGTCAGGTGGTCGATAATAGATTCCTACTGTTATATTCTTACTGGAGCATGGAATTACTATCCCTAGAGATTCTATGGAAGATGTGGACCACAAGGGTCATCTAGTCTAACCTCCTGCCAAGATGCAGGATGTTGTGTCTAAAAGGATATGCCATAGTTTGAGCTCCCTTGAATACTGTGAGTTTGGAAGCATCATTCAATCTCTAATGCTTATAGGTAAGCTGTCTGCTTACAAAAGATGGTGGAAAAACACAGAGCGGACAAAGAGAGAGAAGAAAAATCAGGTGCCTGGGGGGAAGGGACAGAGTGAAAAATAATTATTTGTATTGAGAAAATAGAAAATGGCTACCTGAGGAGTCCATGCAATCTTCAACACTAGAGGCTGTGAATTTCTGGCCAAGAATATGATTGTAGTCTTCCAAAAAGTTTACTGATCCAAGAGGGGATGCAATAGGAGCTTTATCTGGAATACCAATGATGAATTGATTTGTTACAAAGTCGATGTCAGAATATTTTGAGGTAAAACACTATCCTAGGGCTAGGCTTACTCTTTTTTGATAGGCCAGGTGCAGAAATGCCAAAATATTTAGCTTATTACTGCCTAGTGGGGATTCAGCCGAATGAGGAGAGGTGAATAAGTGCTGAGGAGCTGACCTGGCTGGTTGCAAGCTCCCAGTGGAGCGGAGATTGTAGATTCAATACCCATGAATGGGTTTTCCACACCTGGAAGATGTTGGCCAGAATCTGTGCCAGCAATTTGTCCAGTGATCTTTTATCCAGAAAACAACAAAATGCTATCATTATAATTATTCAGTTAGGCTAAACATTCTGCAACCTGTACTCTCAGTGCCTAGCACCATAGTTCATTTGGAATGACTGACACGGATTCAGATGCTATTTAACGCGTATAAGGGTGATAGGAGATAAACTGCCTTTATATTATTTTTCAAGGACCACACAGCCCCCCCCTTTCCCCCCCTCCCCGTGCAGAAAGCTTCCAATGACTTCCAGTGGATTTGGGAGTTTGAATCCCTAGCAGATAGAGCATCAAGCCCTACATTACTTTTTATCATGTTAATTTTTCAAAACTACCTACTTACAACATGGAAAACAACTAGTTACGACGAGGTCCAGATACTGTGGAGATTGATGCAACAGAAATATAGAGAGAGGGAGATCAAGACATTTGTTTATGAAGGTACCTAGCACATTATTTATGATCTACAAATAATGATTACATAAATAAATTCTGTCAGTATGAAATTATCTCCTAGTCTTGTTACCAAATCACCACTAAATCTAAAACAAGATATAGTACGGCATGCTAACCTTGGTGTTTAGCATTCACCCAGCTCAGTAAGTAGTTGCTGGTTTGCTGAAGCAGAACATTATTGTCTCCTTCATAGGTGCAGTTTGGGTCATTGTCATTTCGAATATCACCTAGACGATTCACTTTTAAAAGAAAAGTCACAAATTTTAATACATAATGTTACTCAATCATTATACAAATATAGGTCAAAAGAACTTGGAAACAATTATTCTGTGAGTAAAAAAAAAAAAAAAATCGGAATTGGTTTCCAATACAATATAATTATTCTTCCCAACAGATGATGCTGAAAAGTTACCCTTTGTTTACATAGGGGCAAATTTTCAGAAGCATGACATCCATTTTATGAGGGCAATCTGCATGTGCAAAATCTGCATCTGTATTTCTCCTCCAAATGAACTGCAAGGGCAGTCTGGATAGTTGTAACTGCCTGATTGCCAGTGCAAATATTCCACTTTGCACCTGAAATTCATTTTGTGGGTGCAGATTTTGCATGTGCCAACTGGATCTGTGTGACACTCCGTACCTCAAAGTAGCATCCTGGAACCCCCATCTTCACCACTGTGAAATGATTATGATATGTTTTGTACAAAGAATGCCTTGTGAAGTATCATTTAAAAAGTTTTGCTCTGTTGAACATTAACATCCTGTTGAATTATATGTGCTATCATTGTATGTGAAGTTATGAAATACTGCTCTGTATGTGTTACTGAAATATGTTGTGAAGTGGGGAATGTCCACAGCTAGCCTTTCAGTAGCAACAAAGGAGCAACTATCATTGGCTAGACAGGCGTTGATATCCCATCAAGAAGAATCCACTCTTCCAGAGGCTTCTCAGAGAGGGCAGGTATGCAGTGAGGGTTACCTAACCCCCACCTCACAGCAAGTATCTTTCTAGCAGTTGGAAGAAAGTATAAAAGGGGAACAGTGACATCATCACTTGGCCTCTCTCCTCCCCCATCTCAACACCTGGGAGAGTATCTGGAAGACAAAGAGTTTGAACTGGGGAGACTGGTCCCAGGCTGGGAAGGGAATCTAGCCTGTGTATTAAGGACTGTGAGCTGCCTGTAACATGTATTAGGGTGAGAAGAGCTATTTGATTCAGATCTTGCTTAGGCCATGTCTACACATGGTTACAAACTTACAGCGACACCATGGTACTGATATAGCTGTGCGGCTGAAAGAGCACGCATGTAGCTGCGTTATGCCGACAGGAGAGAGCTCTCCTATCGACATAATAAAACCAGCTCAATGGACGGCAGTAGCTGTTGGTGGGAGAGGGTCTCCCGCTGACATAGCGCTGTGCACACGAGCGCTTATGCCAGCAAAACGTATGTCACTCAAGGGGATGTTTTTTCACACCCCTGATCGACAAAAGTTTTGCCAACGTAAGTGCTAGTGAAGACATGGCCGTAGTCTGTTAAAGTTAGAATTTAGACTGTGTTTCTATTTTTATTTCTTATGTAGCCAACTTTGATCTCTATGTCTGCTACTTATATCATTTAAAATCTATCATTCTGTAGTTAATAAATCTGTTTTATATTTTACCTAAAACTGTGTGGTTTTAGTTAAAATGCCTGGGAAATCTCAGCTCAGGTTTAAAAGGACTGTTGCACGTCCCTTTGCTGGAGTGACAAACTAATTAATGAACTTGCACTGTCCAAGGGAGGCTTGAGCAGTGAAAGATGGTATATTTCTGGGGTGACTGCTGGGTGTGAGTCTCCACATGCTGATGGCTGAGTGATGATAGCACCTGGAGGGGTTGGCTGTTTGTCACTGGCATAGCATTGTGAGAGACAGCCCAGGCTGGAGGATTAAGGGGGCATAGCGGTCCGACAGCTCCAGGTTGTACCCTGGGGACACCATCACGATCTGTAAAAAGGAAGATGGGGCCAAAGCCCTTTTGAAAACTTACTGCCACTGATGCATACATCTGTACACAACAAAAACTGTGATAGAAATGTGCGCAAACAATCTTAACTGACTGTATCTATTCAGGAGTTTGTAACTTACTGGCCAGGTAACCATGTCCTCCACAAGCTTCTCGACATTCCTGGGCCGCTTGCTGGGCAGTCCAGGAGGCCAGTGGTTTACCACCAGTAGACAAGGCATGAATCTCACGTCCAATTTCAGCCTTTGTAAAAAATAAGCTAATGGTAAATGTTTTTTTAAACAAAACAAGTTCAAGAGTACACACAAAAAGCTAAGGATGAAATTCATCCATGTGACTGCCACAGTCTTGAACAAGACCAGGGATTGAACCAGGTATTAAAAGCCTGAATACCTCTTGCTGTAAACAGACCCACATCCTCTATGGACTGGTCACAAAAGGAGACACATAATACACACCAACCTGGGTGCAAGGCCTATACACCATTTAACTTGACCTGCACAAAGCCCGAGGGTTTAAGTGAGACTGAAGTGATAAACAGTCACTGTGCAGACCTTGACACGGGGTGAATTCCACCTTAAGTTATTACAAAAATAATTCTATTTACAAAAAGACAATAAAAAAAACTATATAGTGCACTTATGCTGGTCAGAGTCAGGCCCTATACAGGTGCAGAGAGATAAAAATTATTTCCTTTACAGAGATTGCCAACAAATTCATTGTACTGCTCATTTAACCCACATTTCATAAATGTTAATATTTTACAGTTAAATTATTTTCAAATGTATTAACTTGAATTGCAAACTTGAGCCTGATTCTGAAAAGATATTGTTCTGGCTTATGACAGAAACTCTGTCATGTATCTCATGCAGTGTCAATTTCAGTTGACCAAAACTGAATCTTCATTAAGACAATGCAGAGAGACAAGGTGGATGAGGTAATATCTTTTATTTGACCAACTTCTGTTGGTGAAACAGACAAGCTTTTGATCTTACACAGAGCTCTTCTTCAGGTCTGGGAAAGGTATTCTATGTGTCACAACTAAATACAAGATGGAACAGATTGTTTAGTATAAGTAGTGCATATTGCAAGAGCCCATTGAAGGTGCAGTGACCAGTAATTACTTAGGCCCCTTTTCAAGAAGAAACATCTCTGTTTTGGAAAGAACTTGAATGTATGCTTAAATCCCATTGAAGTCATCAGAACATAAACCCATGATCAAAGTTAACTGCTTTCCTGGCCTTTAACACTAATGTTTCTCCCCCTTCTTCCCCTCATTTCTGAGACACTTGTGTATACAGGCCCTTGGTTTAACAATTGGAAGTTTACTGCATTGAAAACCCGAGTTGCAATTAAAAGGATATGTATAAACATCTCACCTGTCTTGGACTCTTATCCTTCATCAGAAGACCTATGTGAAATTCTATGAAGTTCATGAACAAAGACTTGGCGAAATGGTCTAAGGCATATGTAGCTGCCAGATAGGGAAGCAGGCGCCATTGCTGGAATGAAAATTAAATCTGTGTGAGGGAAGGTTGATATATACATATTATTAGGGGCTTTTCCAATGATACTCAAAACCCCTATGGTATATTTTTTCAGTTTCTAGAAAACTACCATATTTCAACTTCAATCTTCTAATTATTAAGCATCTGCCCTCCCACCCCCAATACCCTATTCAAATACAGACTATATTGTTTGTGGTTATGTTCAATTAGTAATTAGAGCTGGATGGGAAACAATTTTCCTGTCCCACAAAAATTTGAGATTTCAAAAAAAAATTCCCATCCCAAATCAGAACAAGTCAACTTTTCATAAACCAAAAATCCCCCCCCCCCCAAAGAAGAAGAATTTGGATCAATTGAAACATTTCAATAATTTTGAAATGTTTTTATTCGGTTTTTGGCTTTTTCCTCCCACAATTAGTTTAAATGAAAAGTCATTTTGAACCAGAAGACTGGAGTTTTTCATTTCAAACATAATTTTGACAATTTAAAAACTTCTTTGGATTGAGAAATTTGTTGAAATCAACCCTCTCCAGTGAACAGTTATGGTTTTGACAAATTGGCATTTTTCAATGAAAAATGTTTCATTGAAAAATTCCCAACTAGCTATTTTTGCAATGGCTCTTTAAATCAGTAAAGTAAATGAAACTTCTTCACAGGGATGCTCATGGTGAAACCATCCAAGTTCATGGTTCCTATTAATTTTTGATAAACATCATATTAAACCAGCACATTGGTTCAATGAAATTCTTTGGGTGCAGAGACCATCTTTTTATCCTGTGTTTGTACAGCTTCTGACGTGGGCTACAGCAATACAAATAATTATTTCTATATTTTCAAAGGTTAATAAAGAAAAAAGGCTAAAGTAATGCACACAAACATGCTAACCAACTGTGCATTGATAAAACCAATGGTAAGGTGGAGGGTATTCTTCTTATTGTTTTCTTTAATACCCACAATGTTGTAGACAATGTTTACACACAAACGCCCTACCCCAATCTTTCAATTGAAGATGACAAGCCAAATCAAAAGGAGAGAAAGAGAAATATAATCAAAAGAGGTACAGTTGTTATATAAATTATGCACTTCTTGGTTTGTTAAATAATTTACACTTCAATGGTATCTGACTGCTCATAACTTATCTATGATTAGTTTGCCTGTTTCTTGACAGCCTCAAGGAAGAAGTGGGTCTTGAGGATGATCTAGTACAGCCCTTATGGGTCAGTTGAAGGAAGGTGTTCCATGGATAGGGGACAACATGGAAGTAGGTGCAACATTGGTTGTGGGAGATGTGGAAAAGAGGGTAGTCAGGGACTATGGAAGAAATGAAATGTGAGACAAAAGCAAATAAATAGAGAGGGGCAGAGCTGTGAGGACCTTGAAGGTCAGGATAAGAATCTTGAATTTGATGCAGTGGAGTAGTAAAAGCCAAGAGAAGGATTCAGCAGATGGGGTGACATGTTCAGAACAACAGGTGAGGAAGATGATCTTAGCAGCTGCATTGGGAATAGACTGGAAGATGATGTCAATGTAGGGCAGACCAACACAAAAGAAAGCATGATGAAAGTTGATACGGACCCAGAGTTTCTGAAAAGTAACAATAAACTCCCTCCTACCAATGTCAGAAAAGTGCTTCTAAGAGCTCAACAATATATTGGGGTTTCAGTATTCCAGGGTCTGATTCTTATTTACATAAAGCCAATTTACACCTCTCTGGCAGTGAAAGGTGTGTGCTTTAAGGCCTCTTTACATTGTCAGAGTGATGTAAAGGGGCCTAAGGGCTTGTCTACAATTACAGTGCTGCAGCAGCTAGTTCTTAGTGAAGATTCAACCAATGCTGGGAGAGATTCTCCCGTTGGCCTAGGTACTCGATCTCCCTGAGAGACAGTAGCTATCTCGGTGGGAGAAGCCCTCCCAATGACATAGCTCTGTCTACAGTGGGGGGTTAGGTGAGTATAAGTATGTGGTCAGGGGTGTGGCTAGAGAAGTTGGTAGTGTAGACCACGTCTTACTGAGAATCAAGCCTTCAGAACTCTATAGGGCCAGACATTCAGCTGGTGTAAACTAGTATAACTTCATTGCTTTCAATGCAGCTATGCAGATTTGCATGTGCTGAGGATCTTGCTTTATATTTGAATACATTCCCTAGATTTGAATGAAATGCCACATTGTAGATTTAGTTAGTACCTGCATTTGGTATTCCAGGACTGGTATTTCTTCTTCATCTGTTGGTCCAAACTGACGGCGTGTGGCTGAGAAGCGAATGGCTATTGATAAGGCAAGCTTTAAATTAACCACAGACATGCCTATGATCATAACTCTACCACTGGACAAAGCCCCAAGAGAAGCGCCAAAACGTTGCTTGAGATCCTGAGGGAATAAAAGACACACTAAATGGGCAGGTTCAGCCATGCCATAGCTTCATAATTGCACTACTTGCAACATCAGAATCCTGGTAGTTATGCCAAATGTTATACTTTCAAGGAGTTAGCACCCATTGACTTTAATGGCAAATGCATGGCTAAAACCCCATTCAGCTCTGAAAATATAAGGGAGCAGTTAATAGATTTGGAAAAAAAAATACAAACAATTCCTTCATAGTATATTTGATAGACTGGATTCATTGCACATACAGTTCATTTCATACCTTAAATGAGCTAACGTATACTCCCTCAGCTGTGACATCTCCAGTTCTGTTCAATACGTTTTCTTTAGGTATCTTGACATTGTGAAACATAGCAAATCTGTTCAAGTAAATAAATATATTAACAATAAAATAGGAAGATTCATCATAACATAGCTTGGGTATATGCCCCAACAGACTGCCATAATGAATTAATGGCTGCATGAAGATTTCATGCACGTCAGTGAACTAAAAATAATATCACAACACAGGTATTTTTAGGGTCAGATTCTGCCACAGAGAGGACGATGCCTGTGAGAATACAGGTCTCCACATAAAAAGGTTCTATGAAACGCAACCTGGGTAAGTTTTCTGTTACTCTTTTTTTTTATGTTAAATTTGTTTTGGTTTTTGGAAATAAATATTATGCCTTCAGGAAAGACCCTCACTGACTGCACCTGTATTTTCTTTCTGCTGAGTCATTCGACCAGCTAACGTTTAAAATATCATGACCTGTGATTATGTTTAAAAGAAAGAGATTTTGCAGAAAGAAAAGCAATGAGAGGAAGGACTGTCTTATGGTTAAGACACTAGAGATGGACTTATGCAAGCGATTTCACTCTGTGCCTCAGTTTCCCATCTATATACAAATGGGGACAATGAAACCTTTGTCTACCGTGTCTATTTTGAATCAGATTCTTACACTCATATTCAAGTCAAATCATGTTTTACTCCACAAATAATACCATTGAACTGAATGGCTCACTCATGACGTAAAATACTGCTCAATATAAATAAGGAAATCAGAATCTGGTTCTGAGTTTGTAAATTCTTTGGGGCAGGGACGGTCTATTACTATGTATTTGTACAATCCCTAGCACAACAGGGCCCTGAATTTGATCAAATATCTAACATCAACAAGAACAATGTAGAATCAACACAGTGAAAGGGAACTGGAAAAAGGCAATATTTGTACAGGAGCTCCAGCTATGATTTTTGCTCGCTGATGCGATGTAGCATCTTAAAAAGAAATGAGTGGGAGAATCTTTTATTAAGTTCTGACACCCAACGTAATATTGATAGAAGCTGCATAAACAGGACACATATTTTTCAGAGAATCGTGTACTAGTCATTTTCAGCCAAATAGACAGTAAGGGCTGGCATGGTATCATAACACCAGCTCCATTTCTGAATATCTCAGCATCTAATATTGCTTGAAAATCTGTATTAATAATCAAAGCAAATTCCTCCTGCTTGCCAATACAGGCAAATATATTTAATAGCATGCGAGAGAGCCAGATCTTTCACATCAATAAATTATATAAGCTTTGCAATGCTACATGTACTTTAAAAATATGAGTAATTTCCAAGGAAACGTATCTGCATATTGTATTAATTCTGCTTCAGAGATACAAGGCATTTTTTGACTGAGCAATATATACTCATACAAATAGTTGAAATGTGCAGTCTAACTGGGCATCAGATTCTTGAACCCTTACTCTGCATATAGACCCGCTGATTTTGGTGGGACTACTCACAGAGTAAGGTACTACTCGGTGAGAGTGAGGGTTGTATTTACAGAAATCCATCTTGGACAATGGTTTTGGATCCTGTAAAAAAAAGGTGGGTTTTTTTTTTTTTTTAAGATAAAAGATCTTTTGGTTTATATGCAACCCTCTACTCTCCCTACCCCTGAAATAAAACCATCAAAGCTAAAAAAACTCCCCAGCAGCCTGTCACTGACTAATATTTGTTAGTGACAAAGTGTACAGGCTAGGTACAACTACAGCATGCCTGTGATACTAGGGCCTCCTCTTGTAAACACTTACTGGGGGCATGTAATGCTTATTACTACTGGGAGCTGTCGTATTGAAGTGAATGACAATACTCCCAGAAGTAATTTCAGTGGAGAAGACTGTAACCTACCTCACGCACCCACACAGGTTCTTAATACCCTTACTTCCCTATATGGGCTACCTGCATTCCTTGTGCAAGCACAAGAGGGAGGGCAGGTTCTAGAGGCCAACAGCTAGTTTCCACTCACAGAGGTGGGCAAGGAGTTGGCAAAGCATAAGTAAAACCATCTGAGATAGCTGAGCCAATGTCAGGGATGGACTCATCCAGTCCAGCTTCTCTCTCTCTAAAAAAAATGGGGGACAGGGTGAGCAAAAGACCTATCACAGTCTGTTCTCTATTTGTTGTTGATTCTAGAAGGAAGCTCCACCCCTGATTAAGATTTGCTTCCGACATCATTACCTGTGGAGAGGTAGGAGCAGGACTAGAGGCAGCAGTTGCTACCTGGAGAGAGATGCCTCAGGCAGCAAGTGATTTAAAAAGTGATGGTCAATAAACTATTATCTCAAACCATGCTTTGAAGCCAAGGATAATTCCATGTGCTTGCATCACTTCTCCATTCATAAATCTGATATACTCAGTTAAATCTCACTACTAGGGAACTTTCTATTAGTTCAATCTTAATTGGAAGCCTGATATGCATTCAGTCACACAACCCTTTTAAAATCCAGCCTCAATATTAAAAGTTTAGTAAACAGAGCCAATCTGATTTGTGTTAAATTAGCATATGGGTACAATTCTGCAAATACCTATGCATGCTAATAATTTTACTTATGTAAGTAGCTCCATTTATTTCAGTACGACTATACACTTGTATAAAGCTACTCATGTGAATATTCTGAACCTTTAATACACCATTTCAAGTCCAGCGAGTCTCTTCTATAACACCATACTGAAGATATATTCTCATTAAATAGCTATACAAGTTACCCAAATATTCTCACCTACTAATTCTAAGAAGGAAGAAAAGAATTAACAAAGTAAGTTGCTTGTTGTTGTAGTGAGCGCTCTTAACGGGCCAGCTATAAAAACAAAATGCCAGACATACAGAGTATTGTTTGATCATCTCTATACTGCATAAAAGATTATCCAGAATGACTTTGATGGAAAAAAAACCCATACTATCACATTTCTGATTACCAGTGAACCAGAAAATTAAATTACACTCGCTTAACAGTAACTGATCTTCTTGGTATTACACTTTATGGGTTACATATTTGCTGCTTTTTCCTCAGCTAATGTCTAAATAAATCCATACAGCAAATGGCAAAACCTTTAAAAAGCTTGAATAACTGGGCAGAAAGATAAGTTACAAATCCACTGACAACTACCATGAGTGAAGAAGTGAGATTTACTGTTTATGAAGACTAATGATGAAAATAAAAGCAGACGCATGTAGGACCCTGGATTTGGATGGGCTTATGAAACTACAGCCAGTTCTCCAAGAGCTTTTAAAATCTTTTTTTTTTTATAGTTAACCATACACACCAATTTGAAGGTGATGTTGGAACATACTAAAAATAAATAAGATTTCATAAAGTTATAGATCACATTTTGAATGTCTATTCACTCAGAAAACATAGTAAACAGACACAGACCAGATCTGTCAACAAGTTTAGGGGAAAATCCATTTAAATGAATGGAAGAGCTACTTGTGTAACTGTACAGAAATTCATGGGAATGTCAAGCACACAAGAGCTTATGCAATGGGCAAGGTACATGTACTGGTGACATTGGAATCCACCTTTCCTATGGCCTCCATTGTAGAGCAGTTAGTGTGATCAGGGTTTGACTCATTTTGTGTTCTGACAGATGGCTCTTATCTGTAAATATACATTGTTGGGATAATTCCATCGGGGTCTGCCTACAGTTGTGTGTTCTTGGCCATGGATAAGTTGACAAGTTCATAGATTTTAAGACCAGAAGGGACCACTAGATTGAGTCTGACCTTCTGTATAACACAACAGGCCATCGAATATTACCCCATTTAACTGCCGTAGTGAGCCCAACTTGTGCTTGGCTAATGCAGATCTTCCATAAAGGCATCCCATCTTGATTTAGACTTCCGCCATTTCCCCTGGTAGTTTGTTCCAGTGGTTAATCACCGGCACTGTTAAAAAACTGTGCCTTACTTCTTGCTGTGTTAAACATTGGACTGCATCGCAACAAAGTAATGAATGTACTGCTCTCCAAACTTATTTCACCCATCACCATTCAGCAGCCATTATCATTGCATTCTTGCATGCACAATCCTACTTGAGAAGGGCAGTCACATCCCCATAGTAGTCTCTATGTCAGGGATCTAGGGTTAACAGTGTCCCAGTGCTGCTGCACTGCTAATCAGTGTCCCACATACAATATTTTACAAATAATATACACAGGAAATGTTTTAAATCTAGTACTCTGAGGTTTTCCACCATCCACCTCCATTCATCACTGATGCATAACTGGGCTACGCGTATTCCTGCCTGGAACAGTTAGGCAGGGTGAAGTCACAATCCCACAGCAGTCTCTCTGTCAGGTCTTTCGCCAGTGGTGCAGAGAACATTTCAAGCAAAGTTAATCTCTTTTCCCTTAAATCATGCTACAATCATTAATCTGGAGCGCAGTAACACGGATAAAAGTGAGCAGCTGGAAAAGCAGCATATTCCCTTTGCCAGTACTAAAGTAATAAGCTGTTACCTGCAGTGCAGATGGCAAGACTGTGCTTTTGGGGAATTTCAAACCCACTCAGATCTCTTTTGATGGCCAACTTCTGTTTTTGACTATCTTGAGAATGTTGAAGTGACAATCCCTTTAATCCTCCTACCCAGATGTAGCCAGCAGGGGGGTGGGATTGGAAGCTTGGGGATCAAGTGATGGTTACAGGGCACAATGATGGTTACAGGGCACAATGATCAAATAATTTTAGAGGCAGAGTAGACCAAGGGCAGAATGGGGGCATAGAGGGATGGTGAAAAGCCTGCAGAAGACAGAAAGAGCAGTCACACATTTCAGAATCTGGAAGCTCACAAAGGGATGAGGTTGAAGAGAAGGAAGGGTGCCGGGAAGCTGGGGAAAAGTTTTTAAAGCAGCATTTTAGGCCATATTGCCACAGTCAAAAGTAGAACCTTGCATCGCTAACAGTAACAGACAGTAGCTATGTTAATACACCCACCTCATTTTATAGCAGCTATAACTGTGCCGGCACTTCATGGAAGAGACAGAAAGACAGAGACCTCCGCCTCACTATGCTTACAGTAAGGCCCAATCCTGCAATGAGCTCTG